GTGATCTGCTGGAATCCTGTCCCATGCCTGTACTAGCACACTGACTTGTGGCATGAGTGCCAGGCTTGGCACAGTGGAAGGAGTGAGATGCTGTGAACTAGACAAATCAGTCACAAGCCCAAGTATGTTAAAAAAAAAAAATGTAGTTATGTAGCCACCTAATTTATCTGTGGTCTTAAAGTCCTCAATCTACAGTTAACTCAATTTTTGCTGGAGATCTTGAATATTAAATCCTATGGCTTTTCACACTGACTGATGCAGTTCAAGGAAAGCACTGCTATAGTGGTTCTGCTATAGGGTACAGAGACAACTGAGCTAATTCTGCAGAAGCAGAGTGAAAACTCTACTAGTGCTGGGAAAATATGGCTGCTATACTGGGAGAGAGTAGAGTCACTTCCTTAGACCTTGATCTTAGTTAATACTCTGCACTGAAGTTGATCACTTAGTAGAAGCCTTGGTTAATCCATGAATCCAGGTTATCTGTCCATATACAGAGCTTCCTGTGTTTTGTTGTGTTGGTTTTTTTTTCCCATTTCTTCTCCTCCATCCCCCATGCCTTTGAACTGGCAAGTATTGCTGATTGAACATCATTTTATAAGGTAGGCTGCTGGTCCATGGCTGTCCACCTGGATCAGAATGCTGGCTGCCACTCTCCTGCCTCTCATCCTTACCCAACTGTCCCAATACACTGTGCTTGCCTGTCCCCTTTCTTGTACTGTTTTCAAGGCTTGTTGGGCCTTTGTATGCTAACCTGACAATAAAATAACCCATTTAAAAGGTATCTAGTGAATAGTCTCAGTGAAGAGTCTGATATGTAAATTGGAGGTGCTGGGGACTATATAAACTAGTGGTTAGATATGCTGCTACTGAGCTGCAGCCTAAGTCACACATTGCAGTTTTGTGAGACTGTAAACACCTCCAGTTTAAATCAGTTAACTGGACACTGCTTTTAGAATTTGCATGGGTTTAGACAAGAGGTCTCCTGGAGAATGGAGTTCTTTAGTTCTGGGCTGTTCCCTCAACTGAGAGATCTTGCTTCTCTTGTCTAATTCAGTGCTACACAGGAGATCTCTTCAGTGAACTGTGGACTACATCCAGGTATGGGCTTGAAAAAGTCAGCAAAATTGTTATAAATCATAGTGATTTTATTTGTGTCTGTATTAGTAACTGATTTGGCAAAATAAGAATAGAGAATGAGTAGTTCTGAGTAGATCGTGCTGAGGCCCCTGTATCTCCAAGTAGTTCGGGTTTATTTCAGATTATGTAGCCTGAACTGAGTATGTTTGGTTGGAAGTTACCTGAAGGACAAGTCATTATTTCAAACCCTTGTGTTCTCCCCACATGTTGCAACACATTTGACGAGTACCTGGAATGAACGCTTGGGTTTAACTTGGTTTGTGTTCACCAAGGTTACTGAAAGATGACCCAGCTTCTCATAAGAAGGAGCAGTCCTGGAACTGTCTTTAGCAGCTACGCCGTATTGAAACTTGAGCATGGTTGCAGCTTTTACGAACAGTTGGGCTGTTGCAGGTGGAGAGTTCATTGATACAACTGCAGATCTGTTCCTGAGGAAGGCTTATCAGTCCTTCCTTACCCCCATTCTCTCTAAGTGCTTATGTTGAAAAACAAGACCGGAAAAATGTGCTTTAACTGTCCTGGGTTGTTCTCATGAAACCTAAACCAGGCAACATCTGTGTGTGCTGGTGGTTATGCTGGGGAAAAAAGTGAACTTGAATGGAGGTACCAGGATAAGCAGCTGGAGTTAATAATGTTTCAAGCTGGAAAAGCCTATCAGATTATGTCCTTGTTGGCACAGCAATGTACTGTGTTTCTTTTGCTGTGATTTATGAAAGCAAGCTTCAATTCTTTTATTTTCAGAATTGTACATGGACTAAAAAGGAGTACTGTATTTTGGTTAAGAAATTAATGGGGGTGGCTTTTCAAGAAGTTCTCCTATATGAAGTTTGTTACATCTTTCAGGGGAAACAAGACTGAGAAGGAGGAATGTACAAGCATATCATGCAGTATGTGGGTGAGACCGTAGGGTTTTGAAGGATGGCATGGTGAGGCCGAGGAGCAGCACTGCAACAATCAAGACTTAGCCCATCTTAGCCTTCCATTTTGTAGTGTAGCTAGATGCTGTCTGGGAATGCACTTTCTTCATCTCTTATTCTAGCTAATGTATATGTCTAAAAAATGTCATTTTCTGTGTTATAAAGGGAACTTAGTATAACAGATGCAAACTTAACTCTTTCCTCTAACTCCCTGGCTCTGGCAAAGGTAATTATGTCTATTCTAACTTTGAAACTTGCTGTTTGTAGTTGTGCTAATTGGTATTTTTAAAGCAAACTTTGAAGTTTACATGTCCTCAAAGACACTTTTGGTTGATTTTTATTGAATCCAAATAATTCTGTCTTGCCCTTGTCTTAGTTTCTTCTGGGTTTAGGGGGAAGAAGGATGAATTGTGTTTTAGTTGAATGTTTTTTTTTAAAACAATTAAAGAAGCTCTCCAGGTAATTTCTGTTGTATCCCACAGAGAAACTTTTAAGGGAGCAGTTAAACATAGATTTTTTTTTTGTTGTTGTTTACAGGAAATTATATGCTTATTCAGTGTCTTCACAAATGTGAATGTACTCAATGGAAGCATATTGCTCCTACAGACATGAGATGATTAGCACTACAAGAAATAATTCTAAATTAAAATTAGTAATAATAAGAAAAAAATTATTTGAAGGAAAAGATTTTTTTTTTTGGTTAAACTTGTCATTTGTTTTACTTGCATTCAGCTGCCTTTTTATTTTTCAGTAGATGCATGAGAATTCAGAAGGTATGGTTAGAAACAGCATAACTTGTCCTTGAGAGCTGGCACTGTTTCTATGCTGTTCCTTTTGACACACTATATTTAGTGTAGGGGTTTTTTATTGACCGGGATATAGAGTAGCATATCAGGGATGAATAAAAAAGCTACAAGTTATGCTTACCATCCCAGATGAGAATTTGGCCATTTCTTAGTGCACTTTATATAGGCCAGAGCTTATTAAAATGTAAGAGTACCTAAAATAGCTTTTTTCAGTTCTTTGGGTTTTTGTCTTTAAACCAGGCTGCCCCAGTTACTGAGTTGGGCTGGTTGAATTCAATAGGAAAAGAATAACTGTGATTTTAAATGTTTAAAAATGCCCTAAATACATTGTGCAGTATGAAACTTTATGAGAAATCTGAAGTGTTGAAACAGGATGGGCCTATTAGTAAGTGGTTTAATATGAAACGAGGAATGGCAGGAGACTTGATCTTACAACTTCTTACTTTTTCAATACTGCATATTCTTCAGTCTGTATGTTGTTTAACACCATGGGGGAGAAGTTCCATAACTGGGTAATTAAAGATATTTCAGGAGTCTCAAAATCCTCATCATTTTATGAGTCTTACTGGAGGCAGAAAAAAGGTGAGACAGTTGAAGAGTGACTTGGCATGTGAAGTGCCATTCAGTATGAATGATAGGCAGAAAGTAGACTTCCAGGCAGAAAGTCAAAGAGAGACTTTTGAATGTATATGTAGCTGAGGGGAGATGGGAGAGAGCCATGTGTTATTTCGCTATCTACAAGATTAATCTGTGCCCTCAGATACCAATGCATTATAGTTTCCTTGCAACACAAGCCTAATATATAAGATGCAGTGCCCTTCCCCTCTAACAGTGGGTGGTGCACTGAACCCCAGCCAGGGTTACAGTTCTAATATGTTTTCTTTTATTTTTGGTCCCTAAACACAGGGACTTTGCCTTTCTGTAAGGAGTTAGCAGTTTTCTTGGCAGAGTAACTGCTTAGATGGATATAGCCTCCTTTGGACAGCCCTTTCTCTCAAACACCTGGCCTGTTTGCACCAGTTCAGCCCCAGTTCCTGATTGCATGGACATCCCTTCTGCATGTCTTCTCCTACTGGTTGGTAATTGGTCCGTTCTACTATAACTGTAGAAGGATAATTCCTGGTGTGCTGCTGCTATAAGACAGTTTCAGGACATCTCTAACTTCTGAATATGGCTTAACAACACCATTTTTTTTTTTTTTTTCTGGGAATGGTGAGAAAGAGTCAAGTATTTTGTAGCTTAGTTTTTCTGTTTTCTAGCCTAAGAAAAGGCAGTGGAGTTAACATGTTTAGTGACATCAGTTGTCTCTATGGAAGTATTTATACCTGGGTATTTATTGTACTTTATAGCTACGATCACTAGGTAAACTAAGAAGAAAAAAATCAGGAATATAAATTAAAAGAAACTGGAAAGAATTTAATGTTAATTATTCTTGCCGCATAAAAGCATGTAAAATCAATATTCTGCAAAATTGTAGACTTTGCAGGTTAAGAAGTGTTTCATTAGAAATGCAGTCATTTTATCTGTAGTTCATCTTAATGACCATATATGTCTACATTAATACTTCAGCTTCAAAGAACTCTCCCATTTGAACAAGATGAAGTCTGTTTTCAAAAACACATATTAGTTTTTAAAAAATACATATTAATAAAACAAAACCTTGATTTTTATATGGCAAATATAATATTGAACTGTGCTTGCTTTCCAGGGATTGCATTAGCTGATCTCATACTAACTCAGGATACACTTGAATTTTCAGTGGTGGCTAATAACTTTTCATGCTTAGTAGTGCCTTTCATTTGATGTGGTATACAGTGTTTAATTCTTCTGTTTCATGCATTCTTATGTGCACTTTGTATTATCAGTTGTGACCTCTTGAAGTCTTATAGTGATGTTTCCTGTTTTGAGGAAGGAAAATTGTTTATGGTGTTTCTTGTAGTATTAGTTGTAAGTTTCTTACTTTGTTTATATGGTATGTGACTTCTCATTCTGCTATAAGATAATAATAATATAATGGATAATCTATTAATAGCTGAAAATCAGGCTTGCTTCAAGTTCACTAGAAGAAAAATGCCCAGTTTATTTGGTTATATGTTAAATTGTTCAAAATAAATTACCTTTTTTGTTTTTTATTCTTAGAAATGGATGATGAGGACTGTGAAAGAAGAAGAATGGAATGTTTAGATGAAATGTCCAATCTTGAAAAGCAATTTACAGACCTTAAAGATCAGTAAGTATTTAAAGTTTTCAGTGCCTCATTGGAAGATCCATTCCATGAGAACTTTGTGTGCAGCTGGTGTTTCTTGCCTTTAATATATGTGGATGCTACTTTTGGAGAAGAATAAGGACTGGGAGTTGTGAAATTATTTGCAGGCAGTTGCTGCAGAATACATTTATGTATTTATTTTCTGGTTTTGAAGTGGTGTTGCTCTGAGGGCTGGTGTGGGTGTATTGCATCAGAATTCTTAGCAGAACCAAGGAATTGTGATTTTTAAGAAAATTTGTGGATTTATTTATTTATTTCTTCAAGATCCTCCTCATTCTTTTATATATGTGCAACAGACCCAAGAACAGTCTTTTTGTAGGGTATCACAGCAGATTTTGTAGTTGTTATCAGTGAAAGCTGCTGGTGGTTACTGCAAACCAGATACTAATACAAAAAGAATGCAAATACTGTTAGCTTTCTGTCTGTAGTTTGCCTTAATATCTATATCAGTAGTAAAGACCTACTAAGTAGAAGAGATTAATTTAATAGCTACATTCAGAAGCTGATCTCATTTGTATTAGAGCCATTCTTTTGTATGTATTTTAAATTTGGCTTTTTTTCAAATGTGCCCAGACAAGCTAGATGCATTTGTTCCTTTTTAAATTGTTGGTAATTTAGCAGCTAACGTAATCAGGTACCTGACAAGTGAAACTTTGAGGGGACCTTTTCTGTTCTTGGGTATATGCACTGAAAATCAAGTCAGTTGCCATTACATTCCAGATGTCTGTTTATATTGTGAGACAGTTCTTTCTTCTAGAGAACTGAGACATCCTTGAAGTTGGATGTCCTGAGACATCCAACTTGCTTTGCATAACAGGACACTGTGAGGTATGTCTAATGGTAGGGTCTGGAAAGGCCCAGCAAGCAACTTCTTGCTGCAGGGCCTACAGAAAACTTTGGCTTGCTATTCTTCTTTGGGCTGAGTATGGAGCATCCTGGGAAATGGAGCCAACTGATGAGTATTGGAGGTAGTCAATAGGCTGCCAGCTTTTGAGTTCAATCCTACTCTTCCATCTGTTGGACATCTTAAATGACTGAAAACAGTTTGTGGAAATAAAACTTGAAGGAGGGTGGTCTCGGGAAGAAGGTAATGAGTAATTCAGGGGGGTTTAGGGATGTGGTATATACGAGGAGGAAGGTATTGTGTAGACACTGGTGGTTTGAGTGATTGGGGTGATTGTAAGGACTAGAGGAACTGGTGGTGGGAGTACTGGGTAAGGATCAATAGAATAATGGAAGAAGGATCATAGGGAGGAGCAAGCCATGAGTAGGGAGGTAGTAAAATTGGGAAGGAGGAAAAAGATCCATAAAGAATGGGATGTTTAGTCATGGGATAAGCAGTTTTAGTTCATCAAGTGTTGGCAGCAGCCAGTCCATAACTGGTTGCTCTGATGTAGCTGGAACTTTGTGCTGTGCAGTCAGGTGTTAGTGACCCATATGTGTGCTGTGAGGGTTGAGCCCAGCAAATTGTTTTGATCAGCTGCAGGCTATGTCAGTTGACCACAGCAGGCTATGTCAGTTGACCACAGAACAGACTGAGTTAACAGTTTGCAGGTAAGAAGGAGGGGAGTGTTCACCAACTGTTGCTTGGTTAGGTACACATGCTTGAACTATGGAGTTGCCATTAAAATAAAATGAAGAGCAGGCTGGTGGCAAGTGAACAGGAAGTATTTCTTGAGTAGGTCTTGATGGATCATTATACATGAACTTTTTCCTGTCTAATTCATTACTTAACCTATGCACTTTAGTAAAAAGGCAGCCTTCCAAAGAGGAGACTGTGTAAAGAGGTAACGTTTGATGTATGCTTAACAGTTACAAAGGAGTATATGTATAGGTTTTCCATAATGCTACAACTTTTGATTGTGGGGCGCAATGTAAAACAACGGGAATAAGAAGAGCTGTTCTATGATTTAGCACTATAGTTCTCAAAGGCCAAGTGCAAGGTCCTGCACCTGGGTCGGGGCAGTCCCAAGCACAAGTACAGGCTGGGTGGAGAATGGATCGAGAGCAGCCCTGAGGAGAAGGACTTGGGGTTACTGGTGGATGAAAAGCTGAACGTGAGCCGGCAGTGTGTGCTGGCAGCCCAGAAAGCCAACCGTATCCTGGGCTGTATCAGGAGAAGCGGGGCCAGCAGGTCGAGGGAGGTGATGCCCCCTCTCTACTCTGCTGTCGTGAGACCCCACCTGGAGTACTGCATCCAGCTCTGGGGCCCTCAGCATCAGAAGGATATAGACCAGTTGGGGCGAGTCCAGAGGAGGGCCACGAAGATGATCAAAGGGCTGGAGCACCTCTCCTATGAAGAAGGGCTGAGAGAATTGGGCTGGTTCAGCCTGTAGAAGAGGAGCCTCTGGGGGAGACCTTCTAGCAGCCTTGCAGTACCTGAAGTGGGCCTACAAGGAAGCTGGTGGGGGGGACTTTTTATAAGGGACTGTAGTGACAGTACAAGGGGTAATGGGTTTTAATTGAAAGTGGGGAGGTTTAGATTGGATAGCAGGAAGAAGTTCTTCATGGACAGGGTGGTGAAGCACTGGAACAGGTTGCCCAGAAAAGTTGTGGATGCCCCTCCCTGGCTGTCTTCAAGGCCAGGTTGGATGTGGCTTTGAGCAGCCTGGTCTAGTGGAAGGGGTCCCCGCCCATGGCAGGGGGGTTGGGACTAGATGATCTTTAAGGTCCCTTCCAACCCTAACCATTCTGTGAATTAAAGTGTGGAGCTTCATTGGGATTGAAATGCTTGTAATTGATGTTACATTAAATTCTTAAAAATGCAAGCAGATTTCTTCAACTTGTCTGCCAGGATATATGAGCTTTCATGGAAGGAATGAATTTTAAGTAAAATGAAAATATTTCCAATACATTTCCTTTTTGGCAGGAATGGAAGATGTCAAGTACAAATTAAGTCATGATATTAGTGATAGTATGCAGTATGTGGATTTTCACGTTTCATCATGATGGTTGCTTCAATAAGAGTCTGCCTATCTTTTTTCTTCATGGTAGGGTGGACACAGATGTGTGAACAGGAAAGCAAATGGGCGTTTCTGTCTACGAAATGTCTATCTTTCTCTCCCTTGATGTAAGCCATATTATTCTTGTGTATCGTAGCACACTTTACTGTCCTCTTCCATGTTGATTCACTTCCTATGCCATTTTAATCCTATTAACAGTTGTGCAATTTTTTCTTATTCCCTAGGGATGTAGCTAATTTTATCTCTACTTTTTACACTTCTGATTGTTTGCACTTATTTTCCAGAAAGGCTTAATAGAAATGAGGAATATTGTTCAAAAAGAAAATATGTATTGGAAAATTCAGATGGTAATAGATCTTAATTTTGCTTCAGTGGGTGTTCTGTAGCATTAACAGAAGTGCAGAATAGTTCTCATAAAAGTATTTCTTCTAACTTGTGTTTGCTTTTAAATAAAATACATACTTTTTTATTTCTATTATTTTAAGACTTTACAAAGAAAGATTAAGCCAAGTGGATGCAAAACTACAAGAGGTCATAGCTGGAAAAGCACCTGAATATTTAGAACCATTGGCAGCTTTACAAGAAAATATGCAAATCCGAACCAAGGTGGCAGGTAGGCATGTAAAATAAGTACTGCTGTTTCAACAGTATAAACTTGCTATGCATTTTAAGGTCAAAATGAATAGGTTGCTTATCTCTTTGCACAAGTTGCCTGTTAACATCACACTAAAAATATGGCCTTTTTACCTTTCATTTAAGGGCGGTCTTCTGTAGTAAGCACAAAATTACTGAATTAAAAACTAGTAATTTGTATTAGTCAGAAGATTTAGGACCAAGTCTGCACACTGGTGACTATTGAAATTGTTATCTCATGAAGTGCCTGCCAGATCATCTTGGATCATGTTTTTTCTGCTCTTCTAGTCTGTGTCTCTTCTACTGTTCTGCTCCCATCCTCCCATTCCATCTGGGAAGGAGGAAAACTCTTGTCCTTAGCAGCTTTTATCTAAGCTGCATTTTAATTATTAAAACTAGTGTTTAGATATGCTTTTATGCTCATAGAAGAAGCAGGCAAGAACTTTTGTTGTCTTCTGGGATACAACCATATAGTCATATGGAACAGTGGTATTGTATGAAGATGAAGTTCTGTACTACCCTGCTGTAAATTATTTTCATGTTATAGTTCAGTTCCTTTAGGAGTAATTCAGCTCTCTAAGGGTTACGTAACACAGGCTGTCAGGCAAAAGGCAGGCATTTGTGATCTCTCTAGCCAGAGAATCTATGCCAATGTCGATTCGAAGAAAGTTAGCAGAAGTACAATGCCAACAAACGAAAATGGCAAGCCTGCTTATACTATACATAATACTATTGCTACTTCAGTGTTACTCAGTATGTCTTTATTGGTAGTTTTGGCTTCAGGATACAAAGAGAATTAGAAGTCTTTTGATCTGTTGCATTTGTCTCCCTCCTGGTCTTCCCAATCATGCTTTTACTCAGCTGGTGAGTCAGAATTTCTGGGTTTTAAAGTTGTAACCACAGTTTACTTGACTGGTTCTAAGTAGCCCATGTGGGCTTCTCAGAATGTTTGCAGATGAACTTTCAGAAGGGTTGATATCAAAGCAACCTTAGTCCAGGCTTTTGATTTTCAGTTTAAATGTGGCTGTCTTGTCAGTGCTTTAAGGTAGGTGGGGTATGCATAGGCAGAAACTGAAGGTCCATGTTCCAATATAAAAAGAGCCCAGGGTAAAAACTACAAGTCTCTGAAGTTGAGACCAGAAATCCGGATTGTGTTGGTTTTTTTCCTTTTGTCCTCAATGGAACAAAATTGATAAAATTATTCCAGGGAGAGCAAGAAACCCCAGAACAGGCTTGTTTGCTGTTACTGTTTGAGAGCCTTGACAGAATTGGATAGTAGCAACTCCATCAGATAGCCTGTAAGGACCCACTTCTACCTGAGAGGCAGGGGAAGGGGTATGTGGTAAAAAAAAAACACCCAAAAACAAAACCAAAAAAGACCCTAAGAAACAAAACAACTCCACTCCCCACCCCACCACCACAACAACAAAAAACCTAAACAAACAAAAAAAACACAAAACAACTAAACTATGTTTAGCTAAAGTATAGGTGTAATTGTATCTGTGGTAGCACTGTTTCTTGTAGAAATATGCATACCTAACAGATTGATTTCAGGCAAATAAGCTGTGACTCTAAGTTGGTAGACCTAGATATGCCAGTCAGCTGTAAATTTAAAAAAAAAAAAGCTAGCAAAACATACTGATGTAAGAAAAAATACTGAATTCTTGATCAAAAGTGGATTCACAGAGGAAAGATGATTGACATAGTACTTCGTAGTTTTTTCAGAGGAATTGCCAGTAACAATATTGTTCCACTTGTACTGTATTAATTTATAGTCAGGTGAATTGTAAGGGAAGCCATTTTGGAGAGTTCTTCAGTTGCTACATATCACCAGTATGTGTGCAAACATAACTCCTCTAGATGGTAATCTGGAACAATTTAGGTGTTTTGAATGTGTTAAATCAAGTGCTATCTTTACTTGCCAAATGGTACGTTTCAAATATCTTTCAGGTTTTTTCAGCTCTCTGTTTAGTAAACATGTTTTCAGAAATATCTAAGAAGTGTGCTTAATACTCAGCAATATTCTTTGTATCTCGAGGTGGCTATTTAATGGAACAGTCTTGTTGATGGATGTGATTCATTGAGGTCATGGCTTATAATGTAAGCCTTATTCCAAATATCAATTTGTAAAAGCTTGTTCTTTCATTCAGTTTTCTAGCTATTTTAAACCCCAAAACATTATTTGAAACTAATCAGAAAATAAGAGGCCATTTAGTACTTCATGTATTTGAAAACTGAGGATATCCAGGATAATTTGATCAGAAATATGGAATAGGCCTATTTTGTAAAGTTAGCATGACCACTGGTATAATTTCTTGACTAATGGGGTGGAAAAAGTGAAAATAACACTTCTTTTTCATCAGATCTTCAGAATTAAGGGATTACTTGTTCTTATTTTTACTGTGTGAAGCTGCCAGCCACTGTAAGTGCCTATTTTCCAGTATGTACATGACTTGCAGGTGGTCTTAAAAGAGAATTCTGAAATCAGATATTATCTGAAGAAAGTAGTATTGCTATAATTTGTCTCATTACAGGTATCTATAGAGAGCTTTGCCTGGAATCTGTGAAGAACAAGTATGAATGTGAAATTCAAGCTTCTCGACAGCACTGTGAGGTTGTGCCAGCTATTTTACATCCCGTCTCTCTTTACTGTGTCATGCTTTCCAAGCTGAGTCATGTTTATATTATTAATGCTATTATTTACTATTTTAATGCAATTTTCTTGCGATATTTGTGTCCATACAAGGTTGCTCAAAGCATATAAAAATTAGCTTTATATTAGTTCAGGTTTGCATATAACTAAGGTTTCTTATTTTTCATTGACAGGTTCTTATTAATTGGTTTCCATATTATTTTTTCAACCATTGTTATAAAAAGATTATCAGGAACGGAACTACAATGTATGCTATAATTTTAGCAAAAAACCACCTTACTTTATTAATATGACATGAACAAGGATAATGTCTTTTTAAGATGCCTTGAACAGCTAGTGGTGGAGTTGTTATTTCAAAAGCAATTACAAGAAAAATGTATTTCTCTCCTTGGACATAAACATTCCTGTTTAAGTATCTAAATAATGGATACTGTACCACAAATACAAAAATACATGTATGTCCAATGCTATAACATAGCTGCTTAGGTCCGTTTTACATCATAATGTTCCTCAGCTACAGTTGCTTAAATGTGTTTTCTTCTGAGTGATTCATCATATTCCTGAAGTTCATGGCTCCTACTATCCCAGTAAAGCAAGAATGTGCGCACAGTTTTAAAAACATTTCACTTTCCTTGATATCTTGGGAAATAACAGGGTATAATGAAAGACTACTCATTGCTGACTGTCTTTGCCTCCTGTGAATACTCCTGAGGTTGGACAGAATCCTGTAAGACCTGCAGGTTTTCACATTCGTGATTGAATGATTTGCTTTGGCTATCTATTATTCCTCTTTAAGGTGGTCCTTGTTCCTTGTTTTGCTGTTATGTTTTTATTGTGAAACCTTCATAATTCAGACACCCAATAAGGGTCTGTCAGCAGTAAAGCTCTGTCAGTGATGCTGCTTCTAGAATCACTGTTCCACTGGAATATAACCATTCAACAAGAATGCCTCTGCCTGTAACCGATTTTCACACCTTACTTGTCACCAAGTGCTTGCAGCAAAACAAATATGTAAACACAAACACTATTTAATTTTAAAATGAAGTTTTCAAATGCTCTCAGAACAGAAAACACTCATTTGGCATTTCAGGTATATGTAAGAGGCTTCTACTTTTTCAATTCCATTGGGAATTTTTTTTTATAATGAGGGACTAAAAAATACATGAAAGGAGGTCTTTGGAATTTAAATACTTTATAATTTGAAGATAATGGTAAACATGACAGCCATTTAGTAGAACAGGTTTCTTTGTTTTCTTATATCCATCAACTGCTTTGCTCTACTCCAGCATACTACCTTGAACATTGGTAAAGGTGAGTTTCTGCTAGTATGCTGTGCAATGGGCATGAGCAGTTGAGGTGCAAATATCTGCTGACTTGGCTCTTTGGACTGCAGTTTCTGGCAGAGACATGGTAGCAAATAGCTAGACAAAGTGATTGTGCTGCTTATGCTGGTTTTTTTTTTTCTGTAAGTCCAAGGCTTCTGTTTTCCAGGGTTGTTAAAGATGATACTCAGTGAAAAGAATGTTAAAATGTAAGTCAGCTGTATTTCCTAAGTAATTTTTTATGAAATGTGCAAGCTTATGAAAGAACAGTAAGTTTATTTCCTTGATGCTTGGAACTTTGCTTGATTCCAAGTTACTGGTTTAGAGAGTTAGGTGTTTTTAGATGCTGCCTTTGAAAGGGTAACTGATGTATGTAGATACTGTGTAACTTTGGTACCAGCCCTATGGAACAGACTATAATTGAGAGCAATTTACTGCAAAGTTGATTTTTCTTTTTCTGAAACATTTGGAGATAGAAGAGAGCGTAGACTGCACAAAATGCTGCAGAAAGTTTACATCGAAGTGTGTTTTGGTTTGTCTTTGTACATTAAAAAGTGCTAATAAAATACCTAACATTGAGGATACTATGTTAATCTATTTGAATCAGAAATTGCGTTTTAAAAGGAGAAACAAGCTAACTTTTCAAAAGCAGTGCTTTAGAAATGTTTCTCACAGCTTTAGGGTAGACAGTTTTGCTTTCACAGTTACTTAGATTTATTTCCTGTGCTCAATAAATTTTTTCTTCTGTATGATGGTATTTTTTCAGATCTATGAAAATAGGAAATTATAAATACTATGATAATAGATTATAATTCTCTATAAATGACTGCAGCTTTATTAATATTGGAGGCAGATTAATAAGAAGCTTTCCATGAAAGCACTAGATTTTCTGATCTGTAACGGAAGATGGCTTAGAGGTCACTACTTCAGTTATTCATTATCTTTGCTATCCAAAAGGAAAATACTCTGTGTCAAAATCCAAGGAGTTATTCTGGAGATCTAGCTGCATGCTTTTATATACTTGGTTATTCGTGGCACTGATATTTGATAACTATATTTACACTTATACCAAGTGAGCATACTGCCTTTAAGGGGCTAGCATCTCGTGCTAAGAAAATGGATAGAGGGAAATGTCATATGCTTTATGGCTTCTGAAAAATTTTCATCTACAGCTACTCTTAGACTTCCCTCTGCTGAAGCTTTAAATTGCTGTCATATTTAGAAGATAGAACTTAGTCATTTAAAAATGTGTGATTTCTTGCTTTTTAGAGTGAAAAGCTTCTATTATATGACACTGTACAAAGTGAACTAGAGGAGAAGATTAGAAGACTTGAAGAAGACAGGCATAGCATTGACATTACCTCAGGTGGATGAAAATTCCAAGTTTTTTGTGTTGTGTTTTGTAGGTGTTGGGGGATTTTTCATTTGTTTTGGGGTTTTTTTGGGGGTGGGGTGTGTTTGTTTTTGTTCTTTTTTTCCATCTTCTGGTAGCTATTGATCAGTTGACACGCAGTATGTCTGAGTTTTAGGTTATGCAGTGGAATGCTATTCAGCTGTAGACTTTGGGGAGGGGCTTGAATTTAAGCTTATACTTTGGTCTAGTAATTGTCAACATCATTTGTGTGTTTTGAGAGTATTAATCTATGACTACATAGTCATGTAACGCCTTCATTCTGTTCAGAAACAGTATCTCACCGGAAAATGTTATTTTTCATTCTTCGACAATGGCTTCTGCTGTAAAAAGAGCTACATGTGGAAATGTTTCTGATTAATAGCATGTTTTTGTTATGTTTTTTCAGAATTATGGAATGATGAGCTCCAGTCCAGGAAGAAAAGGAAGGATCCATTTAGTCCAGATAAGAAGAAACCTGTTGTTGTGTCAGATATCCTTTTACTGAAATTATTTTTCTTTCTATTAGTGTTCACTGTTATATAGCTAGTGACAATTTTTGTAGCTAATGACAATTACATATGTCATTAATAACAAGTTGAAGTTATAATGCATTCTCAAAAATTGATTTTTGGAAGGCAGGTGTTATTCTAATTCAGATTATGAATGCATATGTCAACATGTTTTCAGTGAAAATTGAAATTAAGTCTCTAATCTAACTACTGGTTTCTCTATAGAGAATATTTCTAAAAATTGATTTTTCTAGCTCTTCAAAAACCAGAGCCATAAGGCAAAAGCGGAAAAAAGTTAGGCATTATGTTTGCAAAGTCTAACTTGACCTGTGTCACTTTTCCTGTATAGCTCTGCTTCTCATACTGAGACTTCCTTCAAGGCCAGGCTGGATGAGTCTTTGAGCTACCTGGTCTAGTGTAAGGTGTCCTTGCTCATGGCAGGGGGTCGGAACTAGATGATCTTTAAGGTCCCTTCCAGCCCAAACCATTCTATGATTCCTTACCTTCATTTATTATTCTTAACAACTTCATAGACTTTAGAACCCTCTTTGATTGATTAAAAGCTTAAAATTCCACTAATTGAGGTGGGGGTGGGTTTGGCATTTCTTGTAGAGTTAGTGTAGTATTTAAGAATTTTGCATTGGTGACTTCTTCATACCTGTTGACAAGCATGCAATGCAGAAAAAACGTTTTAAGGTATAGCACCTAAGAGACTGTGTCATCTTTCTCCAGAGAAAGAAGGAGATGCCTTTGCAAACTGGGTTCTCTCTACCCCTACCCCAGCCTAACATTTTTATAAGATAGAGGTGTGATGGCTTAGATTTTGCCGGAATTGTGGAGACTACCTAAAAGAGATCAGCTTCTAAGAATTGACATTATATGGTACAAAGGCCATTTTTTATTGCTAATCCTGCTGCTTTAGCAAGGTTTTGTAACTTGAGGACAAGGTGGGAAGGAAGAAGCTTTTGAAAAAACTGTCATCACTGGTACATCCTCATTCAGGATGGTTGATTTACTGGATTCAGGTTGTGTGCAAGTGTGTTTTCTGTAGCTCTCAGTCTTCCTTGTTTTCAGGATGTCCATATAAATGACATCAGATATGGTGAATTATGAGCTATCTTGCCATTTTAGAAGGCATTCTAAACAAAATACTAACATAGTATTGGGTCTAAAACCCCAGCAATTTCAGGCAAATCGTAAGGCTGAAAAACCTTTCAGTTTTGAAGTAAACTTATCTTTTCTTTTTGCTTATGATTATAATAGTTGTGAACTTGTCAGTTTGTACAGATCTGTGTGATGCAAATACATAGAAATTTTGCATGGCTTTGGATTTGTAATTCTCTTCTCTTTAGAGGAAAACAGATTTAAAAATGGTTAAATATTCTTGAAATTTCAAATTGAATGTAAGTTAATGCTTTCATATCCCCTTTTAGGAGATTTAGTTTTTAAACATTCATAGCATCTTTTTCTAAACTTGTTTTTCAGAGATGGAGAGAAACAGAGTAAAAGCTGAAGATTGTTGGAATAGCTGTGCTATATGGGGTTTTGTTTTGAGGTTCATGTACTGCTCTAATACACAATTTTTACTTTAGAGTTGATAATTTAAGGAAGGGGCTTTGCCTTTCTACTTCTTGTTTGGATATTTGCTATTCAGATGTGGTGCTGTCTACACTTTTTCTTTTAAAGAAATACGATGCAGAACACTAAAAATAATGATTTTATTAAAGCTGACACTAGAGTAGATGTTGATATGCAGTAGTATACTGAAATTGCACTAAATTTTTATTGTAATTTGTAGTATTGTGAATAGAATGAGTTTTGGAATGGTTAGGGATAGAATGGTTGTGTCACAGTTGATCTTATTCACCTGTTGAACTCCAGTAGTCTGAATATCTATGTAATATACTTAGCTCGTTGAATAAATAATGTGTAAAGTTACTTCCAGGTTGCATAGTTCAAAGATGCATTCATTTTTGCTGAGCTTTCACTTCACGTAGGTATTTGTGTGAAAGATTGGAAGAACAAAGCTATTGATATCTTTCTATGAACATTAGAGTATTTTTATGATTGCTGTTTTAAATAATTTTCCCTAACTTTTCAACGCCCATATATAGTTTATATGTTACAAGACCTTGATATACTTGAAGATTGGACAACAATAAGGAAGGTAATATGAAAGTATGAATGCTGGTGGCTGTGGGTTTTGTTTTGGGTTCTTATTTAGTCCTTTTGCTTCTTAAAATATGTAAATGTTTCTTACACGATCAAAGCTCTAAATAGATTTTTATTTCTTCAGTAGTCAACTAATCACTCCAGTTCAAGCTATGTTATTGCTACTTTTTCTGATTCTACCCAAATCATGCCAGGGAATTCAATGAAGTGGTGAAAGAGGTTACTTCTAAAATGGGTAGTCTGTAATTTCCCATAATAAAATGAACCTAAAGCATGTTTCAAGATGGTCTGCTTCCTCTAGTTGGGTAGAAACTATGATAGGATAGTTTGATAGGATTTTGTTCTAATTAAGAATTTATGTATATATATCTCATATGGTATGTATTCCTATAGAAAATCGTTGATTTTGTGAAGATTTCTATGGTTTAATCTCTCCTTACACTTTATTAAAAAAAGTGAAACACTTTTTCCCAGATTAGAAGAGAAGCAGGGTTTACACGATGAGAAATTTGTTTGACCAATTGATATATTTTAAAAAATAAATCCAGCTTTTCAATGCAGAATGCCTTTTTCACATCTTTCTCATGCTGTTGAAGTAACTTGCTGTAAGCAAATGCTATCTTTGCCTTGCCCCTGCAGTCATAAAATTTCTCCTAGTACCCTAGTGCTTTCCAGCTTATGAAAGAGCAAACTATGTGAATTCAAAACTTTGGTGGGAAATGGCTTTGAGTCAGTTTCTATCCTGCTTTATACTCGTAAATATTTCCTAAACAAGAAGTAAAATGTGGTGCTTATGTGCAAACTTATTGGACTTTTCTCTTCCTATCTCATCAGAGGAACAGACACAAATAGCTTTCTCTCAGTTTCTTTCCTGTAGTGCAACACTATTATAAACAATAGCAACAAACCCAAAATCCACTGGGGATTTTGCCTTTTCTGGAAATTTTAAACAGCTGAAAAGCAAGCAACCAACCAACCCCAAAAAACTCAGTGTTTTTTTTTTTTTTTAAACTTATTTTAATACCGTTTGTTATCTAGAGTTCATGAGAGAAAATTTGAGTATAACATAAATCAAAAGAGTAGATTTTTCAAATACCATTTTGTTTTTTTCAGAATGGGTTAATTTTGTTCTGTATTTTCTTGACAGAATAGCATAACAGCAATTTTGAGGGTTTAATTTATAAACCTCCTGAGTTTGAAAAACAAAGTCCACTAAAAAAGGTGACTTTTTCACCCTCAAAATGCTGTTTAATTTAGTTGCCAAATCACTGTTGAACACACTTTTATTTTAGTTTTCTTCTTGTTGTGGCTTTTGCATGTAAAAACAAGTATCCTGAGCCACTCTCCACATAACTTCCTAATTAAAGCTGGCAGTTAAGAAAAAAAAGGCTATGCTTGCTGAATAACTTAATTTTCGTTTTTGCTTCAAGGCAATGGCTACACTGGGGCCACACAGAGTAAAGCCAGAATGTAAGTAAACATTGTCTGGTTTCACAAGACAGAGCTTGTTGTGTGCAATGATGCAGACTGCAGATGGTATTTATTTTAGCCCTGGTATAGTGATGGAAGATGGGGTGAGGTAGCTGGAAGATGTGGCTTTTCACTTCTCTCACGTGCTGATACTTGTAGAGCAATTGTTGATGATTGTGCTGACACCTGAATTCTAGAAAATTATCAACAAAAATTTAGACTTCTGAAAGTGGATTACAACAATTAATGTTAGCAGTTATGTAAGTGTTACACAAGATGAGAAAGGAAATTAAGATCATCTGGACCTTTGGAGTACGTTCTAGAGGATACTCATTCACTACAAGCTATAACCCTGAAAAAGTAGAACTATGATAAAGAAGTGGTAACTGGTATTTGGCATTGAGGTGAGGAGCACACTACTCCTATGTAAAATTAAATACTTGAAGGGGGTGAGTAAGGAAGAAAAGGGAGAGGAGGCAAGTAGGTGGTGTATTTCTTTTAGTGACTGTGGTGGGTTGACATAGGCTGGAGACCAGGTGCCCACAAAACCTTCTCTATCACTCCTCCTCCTCAGCTGGGCAGGGGAGAGAAAATACAATGGAAGGCTCATGGTTGAGATAAGGACAGGGAGAGATCATTCAGGAATTAATGTCAAGGGCAAACTGGACTCAGCTTGGGGAAAATAAATTAATTTAATTTATCATCAATCAAAGCAGAGTAAAAGAGAACTAAAACCAAATCTTAAAACACCTTCCTGGGCTCAACTTCACTCCTGTTTCCTTTACCTCTGTACCCCCTGAGTGGCATTTGTGGGACAGGGAATGTGGGTTGTGGTCAGTTAATCGTATGTCTCTGCCGATCCTTCCTCCTCAAGAGGAGGACTCCTCACACATTTCACCTGCTCCAGCATGGTGTCTGTCCCATGGGAGACAGTCCTCCATGAACTTTGATATGAGTCCTTCCCACAGTCTGCGGTTCTTCATGAACGGCTCCAGTGTGCCGTCCTTCAGGAGCAGCCTGCTCCAGAGTAGGTCCCTCATGGTGTCACAAGTCCTGCCAGCAAACCTGCTCCAGCCTGGACTCTTCTCTTCATGGGTCCACAGGTCCTGCCAGGAGCCTGCTCCAGTGCAGGCTTCCCACGGAGTCACAGCCTCCTTCAGGCATCTAGCTGCTCTGGTGTGGGGTCTCCCATGGCCTCCAAGTGGATCCCTGCTCCACCATGGACCTCTATGGCTGCAGGAGAATCTCTGCTCTGGCACCTGGAACACATCCTCCCTGTACTTCTCCACTGACCTTGGTGTCTGCAGAGTTCTCTTTCACATCTTCCTCTCTCTCTCACTCTGCTGCAAAATCTCCTCTCTTAAAAATATTCCCCCCCCCCTTCCTTCTTAAACATGTAATCACGGAAACATCATGACTGCTGTTGATGGGCTTGGCCTTGGCCAGCAGTGGGTCCATCTTGGAGCTGGCTAGCATTGACTTTATTGGACATAAGGGAGGCTTCTAGCAGCTTCTCACAGAAGCCACCCCAGTATCCCCCCAACTACTATAACCTTGCCACACAAACCCAATACAGTGGTGTATTAGTACTTGTATGAAGAGGTTTCAGGTATTTGCCATTTGAAGTCTTCTCTATATTGCATTACTCAGTTTGTGAAAATATGTATCACAGGTAATGAAGGTTGTGGGGAACATAGCTTCTATTTGGAAATGGAAATACAAGTTTTACCTTATTTCCTGTCAGATAAATTATCTTGCTTCCAATTTTCTTGCATTATTTCAATTATTAATAGAGGCTACTTTTGATAATGGAAAAATGTGTATTCTAGGTAAATAATTTGATCAAAGTGTATTTAAACATCTAAGTGACTTCTGCTGAGCCAATGTTAGATGACATTTATTGATCATTTTAGTACCTGTCAAATTAGAAAAGCATCTACATAGTGCTAGATCTGAAGAAGGAAGACTCTACTATGATGGAGAATGGTATGGACGTGGACAGACGATATGCATTGATAAGAAAGATGAATGTCCTACAAGGTAAAAATTATTCAGTTTACTGCAGCTCTGTACATTTATGTTAAGCAATAGATAGGATGATGGCATTGAAGAATAAAGTTTATTTGGGTGTACTGCCACCTCAGTAACATTTATTAGTTCACCTTGGAAGACAGGCATCATCAAAGAAGGTTGGGTGCTAGAGTGCTGAGAATGGCTAGTAAAGGTTGGACTTCACTGAAGGTAATGAGGTATTTGTCAAGTTAGGATCTCATGAGCAATTTAAGCTCTTACTAGTTTCTGAATAGCCTTTGAGTATTTTTTTTTTATTTTTTTTTTTTTTAGTATCTTGGGATTTTGTTGCTATGAGAATTTGACCTGTTGGCCCACCCAAAAATACTTAATTATGGAAAACCACTTTATATCATTTAAAATAAGCTTTTTTTTTCAGTTGATTAATGCTCTGAAAGAAAAGAGCTGGAACTATTTTTACAGCATTTTGTTCTCTTACCAAAGTTTCTACCTGGGAATGGTCTAAATATTACAGTGCAAATTTGTTTGAATGTTTAAGACATCTAAATATCTTTTCCATGTATGGATAATATTTTTCAATTCTAACAGATGAATGTATTTAAAATAATAATTAAAAATAAATGTATATCTTAGATTTGCTCCATGCAATAAGAAATTTAAGAGCAGTGTTGAACAAATATGCACAGCCACCTGGAAAAATTAACATCATATAGTAATAGTTGACTGTGAAACTGACTTTCTTTTCTGTGTGGTGAAGGGGAGCAGGTTTTGGTGATTTTTGGTGTTTTTTCAGAGCTGCAACAGGAAGGTATTTTAGTAAACTACATATTCTTAATGAATTTTTAAAAATTCTGAATTAGTTTGTAGAACATAGCAGTTGTTCGGGGGGG